CACCACACCTGCTCCATCTGATGTCCCTGGGCAAGACACTTAACCCCACTTTGCCTGAAGCCCCCGCTGAAAGACCCTGGCCATGTCTTTGATGACGGAGCAGCTATCTTCCCATAGACCCACCACCTACAGGAAGCCTTTTGTGATCTGATTTGGGAGCAAGCAACATACATTATTAATGCAAGGGAAGATGTTTGTTCCCCAGATGTAATTTAGTGAGTTTTAGATGAGCTTCAGCAGGAGACCCGGGGGAAGACTCAGACCTCCTGAGCCTGCCATAATCCAGGTCTGTTTCTTGCAGCAGTATAAGTGTCGGGTGTACCTGAATGGACCTGTCACGCGATGGTCACATTATGGCCGCGATACGGCTGTGTTGTCAAAGTGGCCGCTCTGTGTGCCTCCAGAATGCACCTATGGCCAGACCCGAGCCTTTATCGCTCCCTCCAGTTTCCTCATGTCCAAATTTGAGGGACACAGAGGCAGAGTACAAAAAATAAATACATAAAAAAATAACACTTTCAATAGCTACAAAGCTGCCGCAATAGCTCCGGGGGTCAAAGCGGAGCTTTATGATCCCCCCCCCCCCCCCCCGGATCATAAAGTGCCCCCCTTGGGGGGTATAAACTATCCATCCTTCAAAGTTCTCCACAACTTGATCACTGACCTCTCTGCTGTACTCCTGATGCTTTTTAGTGACTAACAGACTCCAACCATAGCTCTGAGGCCCTCACAGAACATCTGTATTTATCCTTAGAGTAGATTGCAAACAGATGGGCTCTATTTCATCGTCAGGGCAAGGTGTGAACATTCAGCACTCATTTGGAATGGTTTAAAGACAATTTAATGCTCTCAGAAAAATGCTGTATATAAATACTTTTCTATTTCATAACAAAATCATGTTTAATTTTGTTTTCACTTCACAGTTGTGTGTGAGCTTTCAGTTTATGGTTATAAATATGACTAAATGTCCAAAGGTGTAGTATTAGACCTTTTGAGAAGCACTGTGCAAACGTCAGCGTAGTGCAGAAGTACTGTGCACTAATACTACAGTATATAATGATTTTTACAGTCTAGGACTAATACAGGCAGAGGAGGTATCAATCAGATTATTGATCCGTACATTCACACTGATTTGTTCAATCCAGATGTATGTACACTTGAAATATGAAGTGTCATGAGTGACCTTGCCAAGTGGCAGCACAACACAATGATCAAAACATCAACACAACATCTGAGCTCCAGCCGTCAGTCTCTCAGCAGCTCACAACTCTCATTATATCTGCCGTCTCATCAAGTCAACTGTGTATCCTAGTTGTGTGCTTTATACAAAGGATCCATTATTATTGCACATTTGAATGACACAACTAATCAGGATTAGGTTACTGGAAGCTCAAAAAGCACCAAAAAAGAATGAACTGATTGCAGTTTCATGATAGAAGGTGGCTCTCACACTCTGCAGAAATGTAGGTCACTTATGGTTGCAATTTGCAAGCAAATCCATCCAGCATTGAGCCTGTATTGGATTTTAAAAGCGACACAGAAGCTGAAGAACCACTGGAGCGAAGATATTATAAACATAACACTACAACAAATAACACAAGGACTTCATATTCAAAACTTGAGCATATGATAATATACTCTTCAGGGTAAAATGAAGACTTTGAAAACACTTCCAGACATGAAAGACAAAAGAGTTTCAATCATAATCGGATGTAACACAAAAGTGAAAATGGTGTTTCAGAGGACATGCTGGCTTCACTCACGGTCACATGACATCATTACCATCATTGAAGGGTGTATAACAGTTGCTTTGTAATTCTTTAACATTTATATCATAATTTCCATCAATAATGCAACAGTTTGGGAAGATTAACATGAATATGTCGAAATGATTAGGGTTATTGTTAGAGACAGAATTCGGAATATTTCCAATTTTCCATGGAAAGAGGTCGGCCAATATGTTTTTTCATTTGCAGAAAATGTGATAATATTAGTGTCATAATTGGTGTCAAAATTTAAATAATAATAATACAATCTCCAGAAAGTCACGCTGTTTAATTTCCTGAAGCATAATGTTTATTTAATAAAACAAATACCACATGATGTAACAGCAGAACTGGAGCCATAACGGAGGAGGAGACGTGGGTGGGAAGATCTGATGACTTTACTGATGATGTGATTCTATTGAGGAGGAACACTGTTTTTTAAGTACATTTTAATCAACCCCAACGCAACAAACTAATCATACAGGGCTTTGTTTAGGCTCATCTACAACATGAGCGCTGCACAGCTCTTGTGTTGCACTGTAGAATAATTCAATAATACATCTTTGTGTTTGGTTGAGTCCCTCTTGTGGGGGTTCTGGGAGTTCAGGGTCTGGGACCCTTTGCTGAGGTACATGCAGTTTCTTTGCATTGCCAGCAGTAAGTCAGACCTGTCCTCAGTGCATACAGGGCCCGGGGCCAGTTTAGAGTCTGGAAAAAGGCGGAGTCTGGACAGTTTATGATGCAATGTTTGCAGCAGAAGTGCTATGAGCAAAACTATGCAAGTACACTGAGAAACATAAGATATTAGTATAAATATATAAATCATTTGAACTGTACACATTTTGTTGGCTATGCATTTGAAGATGACAGGATTATATACAGTGGAAAGATAATTGCATCATGTCATTATTACATGCAATTATTATGAGCTGTTGCAGATTATGTAAGAAAGGCTGAGACACAGAAAGCGTCTGGCGTTGTCATTAATGCAGATTATGTTTAAGATCATAACACATAATCATAAACACACATCCACTAGTTTTACATGTTTATTTTTTATCAGTCAATTGATAAAATATAATCATTAAGAGAACTGGATCCTTACTTTCTCTCCACTCAGACTTCAAGATATTAACCAGGACTAATTTAATTTCACCCTCACAAATAAAAAAATATAAAAACATGTTTACATTTTAATATGAATATATGTGTACGTATACGTATATGTCATCGGTTACAAGTCCCCAAATCTACAGTATTTTTCATTCTTTTTTATTTTTTTTTATTTTTATTATGCAACATTTACACAAACAATACAATAACAATAACAACATAAAAGTCAGAAAGATAACCCTAAGACTGATGTTGACAAAATACAAAACAAACAAAAAATATACAACAAATAAGACAATAACAAATCAAGGAAATTAGTAGTAACTGAGGTAGGTATTCTGTGATTGTTTGTGTACGTGTGTGTGTGTGTGTGTGTGTGTGTGTGTGTGTGTGTGTGTGTGCGCGCGTGTGTGTGTAAAGGTAATTGAAATACAGATACAATATTATTGTCATCCACACATTATCACCATCGCCACCAATAATAATAATCCACATAAATCCTCATGATCAAAAACTATTTGAGTTTTTAATTGGAGATTATAAATAATTATAATACAACAATCTTATTCATAATAATAATAATCACTTATTACCATCCCTATTATAACAGTAACAGTAACAATAATTCATAATTTCATGGTGTACTGCTATCTTCCCTCCACCGTCCCCCCTTCCCTATTTAAAGTGTATTATTTTTACAGTTTCGCTACTTTGATGTGTGACATGTGTTCTACAGTGCATTAAAAGGCAGACATGAGGGAATGTCCCGAAGTGGGTTTCTCCCCCACGTCCGACCGGCCCTATGTGTATTTATAAAGACATTTCAGTGCTACTCTAATGCAGCCATTCCCAAACTCAGTAACACCTAGGCCCCCTTAAAAATCTGACGGGTCTGCGTGGCCCCCCAAAATAATAACCAAGAAGACAACATTAAGAATAGGCTCTTCTGGTTATTTTATTTTGGGGAAATAGCCTCTGCTACAAACATTGTAATACAAAAATGATTACAGTGGATTATTCAAGTCAAATAATGAACACAAATATTTTAATATTACAAACAAAACATTATAAATTTAACATTAAATAATTATATTATTTTTTTTATGACCTCCCGCGGCCCCCCTGCAGTACCCTCGCGGCCCACCAGGGGGCCGCGGACCCCACTTTGGGAGACACTGCTCTAATGTGATGCATTAAAAGACAGGAGATGGTAGGGGGAAGAAGCTATCTAGTATTTTTCATTCTAACCATTTTAACCATCAGACAATCCTCCAGAGAGCAGCTTTGCACTTCTTATATTTACCAAATTAATACATAGAATTATATAATGTATATTATTATTATTATGTATACTAAAATGACGGTAGAGGAAGTGAGTGTCTTTGAGAGTGAGAAAAATAGATTATATCATTGACTGTAAACACAATGACAATATGGTGAAACGTGTATTTAGAATACACTCTCTATAATACTGATACTAATACTAATACTGATATTATTTAAGGCTGTCTTTATTCGTCATGTTCAGGACACAGTCTCAGGGAGTTTTCTTTGGTCCTAAGATAAAGCCACTCTCCCACATGGTGTTGGTGTGACAATAAATGTATATACAAGTAAAGTTGAGCGAGAACTTTGCTTGGATTTAAAGGTTTTAATTGCTATTATGGGAAAGTCCTAACTTCTCATCATCTGCAAACCCAGAGAGTGAATATAATATATTAATCAATCGTCATGAATAGATCCATTATAGAGATGGCGATCCTGGTCACAAATCTGATGGCCATCGATTATCAGACAAACTGACATTTCTTTAAGGAGTATTTCACTGTGGCACATTAGTCTGGTCTTTAGTTCATCTACTTTTTAAACTAAAACGACTTTAGAACAGGAGACTGCTCCAGTTTCATGAATGAGAACTTTTCAATTTGTTCTTGCTTTGTGTCGTTCACAGGAAAACTGTAATAGTGTGCTGATCTGATTGGATGTCAACAATGGAGCGAAAAAAGAACAGAATCTGTATCTGAAATAGATGCCACACAAACGACCGGATCAATATTGATCATTTGCTTTCACCTCCAACTTCTTTACAACCACATCCTCCTCTGCCGCGCTCACTGTGCCATGTCTAATCAAAGTGAACTGCTCACTTTCTGGGGGCCTTCTGATTGGACAGATTCGAGCCAGTGCCCGCCCTCCGTGGGCGGGACCACTTTTTTGATTGTGGCCTACAGTGCAGTCATAGCAATTGGGTTGCTAGGCAATGCTGGATTGGTGTTCATCATTGCTCGGCAACAGGAGTTACGTAACGTCACCAACATCCTAATTGCCAACCTGTCCTGCTCCGACATCCTGATGTGTGTGGTGTGTCTGCCGGTCACCGTCATATACACGCTGATGGACCGCTGGGTGCTGGGAGAGGCCCTGTGTAAGGTCAGTGCATCTCCACTCTATTACTCTAGTTCACCAGGCCAGCGCCACACACTCCAGAGACACATACAGAATATAGCTTCAGAAACAAACACCTTATTTTCCATTTGAAAGTGGACGCTATTATGATTAAAAGCAAATACTAGAGTGAGTGCAGAGCTGCATTAGGAATATGATGATACCTGCACAGGGGCTGTAGGTAACCTGACCCTCTACATCAGCCATGTCCAACTCAGCCTCCTATGCATTTTCAATTATTATTAGGGAGCTTCCACTACGAGAGGCAGAAGGAAGTCTCAGTCTGAGCCTGAATTTACAGATTAAACTAAAACATCTGGATTTTTTTATGGTAATGAGCTTCCAAGGCATGTATACACCTATTAAACAACCACATTACATTTATTATACCATTTTAACCCAACGCATCATTAGAGGTGAACTATTTAATTTTTTTATCTACTTAAATATAAAACAATGTGTTTAGATTTATATTTGATCCAGTTTTGGTTGATTTTTCTTTGTTTTCAGAAAAATTCACAAAAAAAAATAATAGAGAATGTCATGTCAAATAAAAGTCATGTCAAAATACCATCATAGCTCGTTTATAAGAAAAGGTAATCCCTACTATTCTTTGGCCCCGACTATTTCCTATTTTTACTATTCGGCCCCTGACACTCCTGCTCTACATTCTGAGCCTGGGGCCCTGCATATTGGTTCTCATTTCCACAGATTAAAAATCTCATGACAAATCACAGATCGCAGAATTGTTAATAAATACAGAACATACAAAAAATATACAAAATAAACTCTTCTTCTGAGAAAACAAGCAGAGAACTTCAGTTAATTGTTGACAAATAAAAACGGTATATTACATTTCTGCTGCCACTTCCTGGTTTCTCTGATGGTTTACTGTCCAATCAAATGCATACCTGAAATGGGCTGCTCTGGGACAGTATAGCATACTTCTGCACAGGGCCATTATACAAATACTCCATAATGTCATGTTCTCTCTAATCTTCTCCTCAATTGTCTTGATAAAGCAGCTCTGTGCTTGTATTTCTCCTGTTGAAGGTGACTCCTTTTGTCCAGTGCATGTCAGTGACTGTGTCCATCTTCTCGCTGGTGCTGATTGCTCTGGAGCGGCATCAGCTGATCCTCCACCCGACCGGCTGGTCCCCTGCTGCTGGACATTCATACTTGGCTGTAGGACTGACCTGGCTCGTGGCCTGTTTCATCTCTCTGCCTTTTCTCTCCTTCAACATCCTTACTAATGATCCTTTTCAGAACATCAGCCTGCCCAGCAACCCTTTCAGGTTTTCACAATACACCTGCACCCGCAAATGGATTCATTGTATTATTTGATCGGGATAGATGTACACAATCAATATGTGAAACACTACAACATTTATAGCCAAGGCTAATTTTCAATGTCAGTCCCTAGAAGGGCTTTTAGCACAATTAAAAACACATTTTACATTGTTACATTCACATTTTACAAAGGCAGGTGTCTTCCTACTCATCAAAGCTCACACATCTGGTTTGTTTTTAAAAATTGTTTCAGTTCGTATTAAAAACTTGTTCAAGCTGAGTCTTAGAGAGTTCCAGAGCTTTATTCCCTGGACAGAGTAGAACGACTCTCCAAATATGGTTCTCCTGAGGGGCACCTTCACATTTCCTTTGGAGGAATCCCAGAGCCCACAGACCTCAGAGGAACTTTGAGAGCGCTCATGACAGCAGGGGCTTGACTGCAAAGTTCAACATAGTTCAGAGCCACGGCTTTTTCTGTGCATTTTGAAGGTGTATAATATATATATATATATATATATATATATATATATATATATATATATATATATATATATATATATATATATATATATATATATATATATATAATATATATTATATATATATATATATATATATATATATAATATATATTAATTATTTTTTCTATGGTGCCAAATACATTTTACCAAGTGACAGTAGACCAACAGAATGGATGAGTAGTTCACAGAGTGAAGTAAATGTATGTTATGTCAATCAAGCAGATAAAATAAAGTTTAAAAGTCCTCACTTATAGTATCTTTGTGTAAATGTCTCATATAATAAATAGTTTTTGTTTCTTTGTACAGACATGAAAGTGAAAAGACCAGTAGATGTTGTTCCTTATCGTTCTGCTTCACACTGAATATTAAGAACAGCTGCTTTCACTCTTGTTCTTATTTCTCACAGTAAGAAGAAGACATGATGTATCAATTTGAGTTACATTTTTCAATACTACAAAGTGGGACAGGTGCGGCTTATTATCCGTGCTGCTTTTCATAAGACACATTAGGTTTTGATAAGCACAAGAGTTTGAATCCACAATGCTCACAAACAATGCTTGGACAAGATGCAGCATAAGTAAATGTAAAAACAAAAATCTCAAGTTACTTTTTTATGTACAGCTAAAGGTGAACATTTATTGTATTTGTTTGTTTTAAAGGGATCATCTCATCTGCATGGAGCTGTGGCCGTCAGACAAACATCGTCTTGCTTACACAACATCACTGCTGCTTTTCCAGTACTGCCTCCCACTGCTGCTGGTTCTTCTCTGCTACCTCCGGATCTTCCTTCGCTTGAGGCGGCGCAGGTTAATTTTATTTTCTGATATAACTAAATTGAAATATTGTTTCTGTTATACATGGCTCTATTTATTTTAGTGCCATAAATAAGATAAGATAAGATAAACCTTTGTCTGGGATGAGTTCACGTTAAAGCAGTGTTGCCTTAGGTACAGAGTGATATTCATGTCTGTATAATGTGTTTAAACATCTTAACTACAAATTGTAAAACAGCTGAAGCCATTGTGAGTGACTGCATACCATAAACAAAAACAAAGTGCTGCAAAACACTAAAAAGATGGGGAAAAAAACCACATTAAATTTTTTCACCCCCATTACACTATTACCTCTTTTACACTATTACACATTTATAACACTACCTCTGAATCTTCCTTCATTTGAGACGACGCGGGTTAAGTTAATTTTCTGACATAACTCAATTAAAATATTATTATTTCTGTTTTTCATGGCTCTTTATATTTTAGTTCCAAAAATCCCTGGGTTGAGTTCATATTAAAGCAATCTTGCCGTAGGTACAGAGTGATATTTGTGATTGTCAAACCATGGGGGTCTTGCTTCTTCCCAGGGACATCTTGGAGCGCAGCAGGAGGACCCAAAGTGCCCAGAGAATAAATGTCATGCTCGCAGCCATTGTAGTTGCCTTTGCGCTGTGCTGGCTGCCTCTCAACGTCTTCAACACTTTGTTTGACTGGCACCACCAGGTCCTGCCTGACTGTCAGCATGACACAGTGTTCTCCGCCTGCCACCTGATGGCTATGGCCTCCACCTGCATCAACCCTGTAGTGTACGGATTCCTCAACAGCAACTTTCAAAGGGAATTTAAGTCCACGCTACAGCGCTGCCAGCGAGGGAACAGGACAGTGGAGAGCTATGAGAGTTTCCCCCTGTCCACAGTGGCCAGTGAAGGCATCACCAAAGCCACTTCACTAAACAGAATGAGTTTGGCGTGCGTGCCGTCTGCCAGGCCTGAGATCAGCGCAGCCACAGATGCTCTGATCAAAACACTCCCAGCTGACTCATGAGACTGACCAGAGGATGGTACAGGCAAAGGCCCAGTCATGTCCACTCACGTTTAATAAAACTAAGGAGATGTCATAATCAGACTCCCTTTATTGTGGTCACAAACTGGGAAATTGCTTTGGCCATTCTGACAGCAATCTAAGTATCTATTTAAATCTGCTTTTTTGGGGATTTCATCCAGAAGAACATAAAACTATTGAAACATGTAGGAGTCAATATCAGAACGAGTGAATACAGAGCTAATCAGGAAGAAAACACATACAGTCCAAATGCAGAAAACAATGTAGCACTTCAATGTGACTATCTTTACCAAAATAAGACTCAACTAAATTGTATCGTAATCCAAGTCATATTGTTAACTGCCAATTAGTTTTAAAAACATTTGATATGATCTAAAATACGCTGCATCCGTTGATGTGTGGATCCATGCTCTATAATCAAGTCAATGCAGTCCCTTCATTTGTGCCAAAGGCTTCCACGGTAGAAATGGTTTTATATTAATTAGAAACAAGTGAAAGGTTTCCGACCAACTCATAATCGACATTAACACACAAACGTTATTAGTCTGAGAGTGAGTGAGAATGATGGTGACAAGTCTGTTTGATCAGGAACACGTAAAAAGTGAATGTACTTTGATGATTTGATGCGTTCGTTTTTAAATAGCTTTTATTTGGAGACGCTTCACATGGAATTATTCATTAAGTCCATATATGGTGGTGGTTAACTACAACTGTCGCCGCAGCTGCCAATCATACATGTGCACCAGACTCATGCTAGGTAATGTGGGTGGGTCAATTATTTTTCATGTCCAAATTCAGCCTTATTGTCTCTATATGAGATCAAAGTGAATGTTCAATTCTGTGGACTTAAGAGTGTATATTGTATATTGTAGCAATAGTCAAAGTGGGATCTATGTTAGATACTCAATATCATTGTTTTTGATATAGCCTTTGCTACTCGCTGCTTTTGTTTTATTATCAGATTTAAATTGCTTTTATCATTGTGTGGCTTTGTTGTTACTATGTGAGGTAAAATGTGTGGACAAAATAAAGGTCTGTATGGTACTTTCTCCAAGTCTTTCTTCAGCTACATACTGCTATATTAGATCCCAAGGCCTGAATTTACAATTATAATATGAGTATGGTACTCGATATGTATTTGAATTATAAATAAACATTTAGGTAAAGGATCCAGACATTCTTTTGTTGGTTTGGACACAGTGGTGAGGGCAGAGTCTGATTCTTTTCTGCATATAACATGTGATCTTATTCAATTTCAGTACTTTCAGTTGTTGGGGCATTATTGCAGTTACCCTGACCTCTTGTGGTCATGACAGGTACATGCTGTTAAGCTAAGGTTTTAATCAGAGGGGAAGAACAAAACAAAGCCCAAAGAGCCAAGCCTCAGCCATTAACTTAATTATTTTATTGAATTTAAGAAAAGCAAACACTTGATAAACAGTTTTGTACATTTGTCGTCTTTATCCTATGCTGTCTGATAGTGGCTGTGGTTGTAAAGGCTTCTGACTGAGCACACTGGAATAAGGCAGACAGGTGTGGACAACACGGCCTCAATTCTGCCACTGTCATATTTAAACTCATACAGATTTGGAAATAGAGAAGGGATTGATATAAAAAAGTTCACCAAATGTATTTAAGTGACCGCGTTTGTACGGAGACGATCAGTTTGTTGGAAAATATAACAACATGCTAAACATAAAAGACAAAGCTAAAGGAAAAATGATCTAATTCCAGTTGGGAAATAGTGTGTCGTCTCTGCATGTTTCACTGTAAACAATATGGATGAATAATTCATCCTGTCCTTTGGTGGATTAAAACTTCTTAAAAAATGTCAACGATAAAAAAAGAAATGTGTTGATACATTTACAGTCGTTTTTCTTGTAAAGCCAATAGTGCATGTGAAATTTAGATCTGATACAGCACAATGGTTTATTATGACAATTTGCAGACATCACTTAAAACATTAAGCTAGAAGCCTAACTTCCTGTCAAGAGTAAAAAAGCACAAAAATGTGTCTTAGGACTGGAATGGACTATCCGTAGCAAAAAAAAAAACTTTTATTGACATTTCTACACATCGTAAGCCCCTAAGGCAAAATATTAACATCAATATTTAAGTGGACCAAGTATGCAATAATCTTCAACAGCGCCACAGCGCCAGGATCTCTGAGTTACTTTCAAGGCCCTACAGTAAGTACAGTATATTTGGGATGGTCCATCAAGCTGGAGCAGAACCAACACTGAATGAAAAGAGGGATTTGAGGTAAAACATGAGCCAACACCAGCGAAGCTGTTGGGTTGATAATAAAAGATGGTATCCGCAGAAGTGCAGTAAATAGAAGTCTCCGACAGTATGAGATCAGTGAGTTTGGGCAGTTCTTAGTGAGTCTAGAAGGTCTTCCTGTGAATGGCACGTGCTTTGTCTTCTTCATATTCCCGTTTTGACACCCACATCTTTTTAAAGGTGTCCAAAGATGCCAAAATAGATCCACTGAAAAAAAGTGTACATGTTTATAGAGGAGACAAACACAAGCGTGAGTCGACGCAAGACCTTCTCTTACCCAATCCATGTGGAGTACAGCCTCTCTTGAGGAGCAGAGATCTAGTAAGAGAAATAAAACACACACAAAAATAAAAACACACAAGACATGTGTTATGTATGTACATTCCAAAAGTTGTTTTCCCAATAATACTGTACATGAGATATAGATTGTTAAATTGCAAATAATAAAGTTTTAATAGAAATGTCCGCTACAAGCAACTTTATCATGCAGACAAAATGATCATTTATCTTTAATCAAAAAGCTTACCTTTATCTTTACATCTTTTGGTGCAAGCTTCTTGACTTCAGTAAGCAATCTTTCCCCAAAACCTTTCATAGAAATAACAAAACAAGTTTAGGATAGTAACTTTATAAGAGAACCTTTTTTTGCAGAGCCTAACCTTTGATGAGTGTGGATCCTCCACATAAAACTATGTTGGAGAAGAGAGTTCGTCTAAGGTCCATGTCCGATTTTTGGATGGCATAAGCCAACACCTCGTGAATGCCTGAACTTTCATCTCCGATAAGGTCAGGCCTAAACAGCAGTTCAGGTGCTCTAAACCTGGAGGGACCAATCTGCAAACAAAGTGAAAATGTAATGCTATACTGATCACGTAAAATGGCTGACAATATATCAAACAATCAAGTTAGACTTGCATTTAAAGTGCTTCCATCTGGCAGCACATATTGTGCCTTCTCGGTTTCTAAAGTCTCATCCTTCTGGGGGTTCAGAGATAGATAGCAGGCCCTCTGTGCATAAACAAAACATTAAAATAACAGTATATTAAGATGAATGATGCGGAACGTAACGTCATTACCTCTTTAACGGTGCGGACCACTTCAAACTCGGCAGAAGTGTTGAAGTTGTAGCCCTCTTTGCGCAGAAGCAAGCGCAGGTATCGAGAAACATCTCTTCCAGCAATATCAATTCTCATGATTGAGTGAGGAATGGCAAAGCCCTCATAAATCGGCACAACATGGGTCACTCCATCACCAGAGTCCAACACCACACCAGTCGTGCGGCCGGTGGCGTATCTGTGGAAGGGACATAAACACGAAGGTTATTTGATGGCGTTCATAAAAAAGATTTAGCCTTTTCTAATGTTCTAGAGCGGCTGTTCCCAAAGCCTCCAGAACAGAGGGTCCCTGGTCGATTGAAAAATCCTTTGAGGAACCCCAGGGGTCTGGACCACACTTTAGGAAGCACTGTTCTAGAGTACTGGAATAAATGTCTTCCAATCCTTATTTTTATTTTTTAAAGAAAAATGTTTTGTTATGCTTGATCCAGAGATTGCCCAATTTCATAAATCAGTCTTATCTATAGAAATTGCAGTTTTAAAATTATTACAGGTGCCTTCAAGATACAACAAATCTGCTATTGCTCAATTATGTTAGTTCTATATTAGTTAGTTGTTACCCAAGAGTATGTTTTATTTAGAAAAAGTGTCAATAAGAAAGTTACTTACAGGCTAAGTACTGCTTGCATGGAGATAAAGAGAGCAGGAACATTAAATGTTTCGAAGAACACTTCTGCAGCCTTCTCTCTGTTTATACTGGGGTTAAGTGGCGCTTCAGTCAACAAAACAGGATGCTAAAAGAAATTTAAACAATTCATTAATTCAATTTATTAAAACAAACAACTTCAATATTATCATACCTCCTCAGAGAAAGTCTGCAACTGTTCCTTGGAGTAAACATACTGCCAGATTCTCTCCATGTCATTCCAGTCTTTTACAATGCCGTGCTCCATGGGATATCGCACTGACAACAAACCTCTGTGTTCCTGCAACAATTACGAGTACATACTATCAAAGAAACCAAATGTTAGCAGTATTATATACAAAAGTGCTGAAACCAATCCATGGTTGCAATATATGTGTTCCCGCTAGCAATTCAGTTCACAAACACTTAAAAGTTACTGACTACAGCAAAGGCCAGACTCTGTCTTGCAAGACATATCAGAGTCTTGAAAATGTATCACAAGCAATGACGTCATTGAGCAATTCTTCATAATCAAATAATTTTGTTGCAGTGTGCTCCCTCATTTGGTCATTATGAACATAATGATTTCAAATTATTTCTATCTCTGAAAATACTACTATAATTATCTTTTATTTTTTCACAAGAATAAGATGAGGATAGTAAGTAGGTTCATTCAGATTTTTTTCTGGTACCTCTGCCTTGGGTCCAATAAACAGATCACCTTCCAGTGCTCCTGCCATCACACGAACATGCTTTGGCCGTCCAACACTATTAAAACATACATAAACATATATTATCATGTAATACAATTCTTCAAAGAACATACATTATTTAAATGAGTTATAGCATTAACTTAAAACTTACTAATTAGGAAAACAGTATTTGGGGATCTGGTCACCAGCAAAACCAGCCTTAATAACTCCCGAACCCTACAAAAGACAGACATTTACTGAAACCAAGATATGAAGATACACTCAATCCATATTTACAACAGTTTCATTCTTTGTGTTGCTTTGTACTGACAGACGAGGTCATAAGACACAGCCTAAGGCCACCAACATAGCTCAGGACAGCACTACTGGAACACATACGGTATAAAATTGCACAGCCTGGAAGACATCAAAGTGCTTTTAAATGGAACTATACTCAATATGTTATATACTAAACATAGGCAGTGTCTATTTACTTTAGATGAGCGGGTGCGGCGGTGGTAACCACTGTTTTGACGTTTCTTGTGTGTGTTTTGCAGGGACATAGCCATATTGACCTTAATCTGGACACATCCTAAACTGAAAGTCTATAGAACTGTTATCTCCAGGTATGAAGCTATAACATTAGCAGATCTGACCGGTTGATAGCTTCTGTATTAGCGTCAGTTCATGTGCACGGATTCCTGCATTTTTGTACAATTCAACACAAGTATTCACATGGATAATGATTTAAGAGAAAACCATTATGACCCTTTGCAGCTCACATTAGATTATTATGCTTGTCCGGGTTAAAAATTGCTTGTCAAAACACAATAGCTACATACAGGCTAGATGTTTGCTAGCATCGCCAGGCATCGGCCTCAGCAGGGTGTGGATGAATGACATCACCATACTTACATTATCGATAACAACCGGCTGGTTAGCTAAAATGTCATAAGAATCCATTGTGGACAGTGGTCGAGGAAGCTTTTCTATCGGCGTGTGTACGTATTCTTGCTCGTTTAGTGTTTAATGCAAAGATAACGCCCTGTCACCGCGCAGCCTCAGTGCGGACCGCTGTGCTGTCTGCGTTAGTCCCGCCCCCCACCACACCTGTAACCTGATTGGATCCTTTTTTTTTGAGCGACGGGATTTTCCACCAATGCACTGAAATTTAAAAGTGACAGATATTATGGTTGACAGTTTTGAAAACCAATCATCTTTCCCCAGTTAACATTGATTCGATTCTGTTTATGACGATTGCAAGAAAATACAGAGCAGAGTTTTATGAGAAAATATGCAAAAGTTACCTACTCTATTTTGCTAAATTTGGTAAATTGTTACATTTTTATTTGCCAAAAAAGACACTTGTCGGAAACGTAACAAGTGCAACTGGGCGGGTCTTCTCAAGGACTGAGGTTTGTGCACTGTGCGCCATAGAAGTCCGGGTGAGTTCGTGAGTTTAGAACTTATAATTTAAGGCAATTACATTTGTGTTTACCATTTAAATTTTTCCGTAAGCTTAAAAAAACGTCCTATATGTGCCATACGTCCAACTTTATTACTATAAATGACCCAAGTAATAGTTTCGGTTTGTCAAAAACAGAGGACTATAGTTAGTGTTACTTTAACTTTTTGTCGGCTATGCAAAAATGAATATATTATATGCTTTATAATAAAACAATATTTATTTATTTATTTTCTACACAAAACAAACAATAATAAGCATAAAAATGATAAAAAACAATCATAAATAATAATAATACATTTTGAGTATACACGTAAAATGTAGGCGTAACAGCAGTATTGATACCGACATTAGTACAGTTAATCTAAAATCAAAACTCATTATTATTGCTAGTGCAAGCGTCTCTTTTGTTTAATAAAAGACAGTTACTCAGAATATTTTACTTTTGAGTCATATTATTAGTGATCATTTCATTGTTGAAGTTACTTTATGGGTGCGGCCCTTGTGTTTGCATATAATACCTTTTTGTTGTTTTTATCTCTTTCACTCTTAGATAAATTAGTGAAAGAAGAAGAAATAGTCAAATCATGGCCAATGCAGAGGAGCAGCCTGAAAAGTATGTCTTCTTTCTCGTTCACACTGCAAAAATACATTTGGGCAACAAATTCACATAAAGAGTCAAAGTAATTATTATGTGTTGTTCTATATATAATCTCTAATAAAGACTAATACATTTTTTTATTTTTTATTTTTAATCTTTTGTTCATTTGGATCTCCAGACACTGCTGGGTGTGTTTTGCTACTGAAAAAGATGACTGCAATTCAGAGTGGGTGAGCCCATGCAGGTGTAAAGGCTGTACCAAATGGATCCACCAAGAATGTCTTCAGCGGTGGCTCGACGAAAAGCAGAAAGGAAATGTTGAAGGTGCAGTCTGCTGTCCACAATGTGGCACTGAATATCTCGTTGCGTTCCCCAAGATGGGTAGGTAATATCACAGTAATGGTACGTTCACACTTATTGGTCAAGTGGCCTCAGTTCACTTCAGAAAGAAATGCAACAATCCTCATAACGTCACTGAAGTGTTTTAAAAGAAGTGGACTGACTTACAGTAAGTGAGTAGTGTGACTGCTTTTTGTTTCACAAGTGAATTGCTCCAACGTAAATGGACCAGACCAACAAGTGTGAATGAGCCCTTAATCATTCTACCTTCCTTCTGAAGCAAAATAAACTCCTGTGTTTGAACTCCTCTAGGTGCACTGGCATATTTACTTCATCACATAGATTCTGCTTTGAATCGGATCAGTCCTTTGGCTGCTGTTGGGGTTGTGATGGGCACTGCATACTGGTCCGCTGTAACGTATGGTGCTGTGACAGTCATGCAGGTGCAGAGATTTACAAAACATACATTGTACATTTGAAGAAACCCTCTTTAACCAGTGTGTGTTTTGGCACAGGTTGTGGGACATAAGAAAGGCCTATGTGTTATGGAGCGGGCAGACCCGCTGTTCCTCCTGATGGCTTTGCCCACTATTCCTGTGGTGCTTGTCCTGGCCAAGATGATCCGCTGGGAAGACTGTTTAGTCAGACTCTGGCAAAGATACATACAACATTTTCCACCTGGTATTGCATAAAAAGATCAACATGTTGGTATATTAGGCCTGCACAAAATATCATAATGGGATATTTCTGAAAACAATTATGATTGCGATCTAAAAAAATAACATACAAAGAAAGTTTAGATCATGATAGTCTTCAACCTGATTTCTTCAATAATCAGAACACATTGCAAAAAATGTAAGTAAGTCGTTATTTTGACTTTATTTGATAATTATATTGTATGGTCGTTATGGAAGTTGGAACAAGCTTTTTTCTCGTTCAGAAAAAAAATAACCTGCTTAAAATACAACTAAAGACAGAAATATTAATATGAATCAAATTATACTAAAATCAAGATTTGACATATTTGAGATTTTTAGCAAGGGACTTGAATAATTGCTATATTTGAAAAATGTGACCTCCTAAAATTGCAAATTTGCCAAATCGTGCAGCCCTATGGTGTAACGGTGTATAGGAATATGAATGAACAAATATCTTTTGTTTTCATCATTTTTTCTTCCGTAATTGCAGGTTCTCGGGTTCCTGTTGAAGGGACAAATTCAGGGGACCATATCTCTGTGTCCCGTACTCTTTGTGGAGCTCTTCTTTTCCCATCAGTGTCCAGTCTAACGGGAAAAGTGCTGTTTCCAAGAGTTTCGGCTAATCTTCAGCGCACGATACTTGTAAGTCTGGTGTGAACGTGTGACCACTTAAGCCCTGTGTTTTTAATGCTGGCTGAAGTTTGTGTTTCTTGTTTCACACAGGGTGGAGTAGCATTTACATTAATCAAAGGAGCATTAAAAATATATTTCAAACACCAGCAGTACGCTGTTCAAGTCAAACGTTGCATACTCAACTTCCCAGTGACAGAACTTCAGAATACAGAAGAAGGGAACGCAGAGTAACTGTCATGAATGTGTTTTACAAATAACCTCATATTTGAGATTTGAGTCATTTATGCATTCAGTCTTAACAAATAAATTATATTGAAATATTACACCTGTTATAATACATTTTTTAGTCATTCAAGATCAAATTACAGTATTTGCTGGACTATAAGCGGCTACTATTTTCAAGTTCTTTCAACCCTGCGGTGATGCGGGCAATGTATGTTCTATAGAGCTGGCGTTCAGAGCTGAGGGCGCAGCACGCTTTTTTATTTTTCCTTTTATTAATTAATTGAATTTACCAGCGAGCACTGATCATCACAAGCCATCATTATTCTCTATTTGTGATTTAAATACGTGTTTATTATTTATCAATTACCAGCCATAATTTTATTACTTTATTTGTTTCTTGAACAAAGCTGCCTACACAACCAAAGATAACCAATGTAAATGATTAAATCCCTTCTGCTATTAATCTTTTGAACATCTCAGAGCAATAAGTCTTTGCCATTGAAATTCTGTTTCTTCATATTCTCTTTTGATTTCCTGATGAGGAGGATGTATCTGGATGTTTAATACTTGTATTTTTTACTGGTGATAATAAAGATCTGCAAACTGGTTTGCTTTGGTGTAAATAAAGTTTTTGCATAATTTGATTGATTGTTTTGTGTTCTTTGGTGACGTGTACAAACCAGATCCATGGTACAAACTAAGGAGGCACCAAAACAATATGGGTATCAAATATCTGAGTCAAAGAAAGACAGTTTTGTTGACCGACATTCTGTTTTATTTTTATATGTACAATTTTAAATTGCTATTGGGGGAGTTTAAAGAAGTTTATGAGAATTACTTCATTCCACCATGTGAAACAAAACGATACGCAACGAATAAGAAAAAAGGTGTGTTTTCTTAAATCTGATGCCCACAGTCTTTGAAGTCGACTGACTGTTTCGACGGCCCGTGAACGCACCATGTGAAACAGGAAACCCGCCTCCTCTGAATGTCATTGGTCAGAGCTTTGATATGGAACATTTCACACGCTACAGAGGAAAGGGAAGGAAGTGCTGCTGGTGTCTTTCGTTTATGTGTGACCACTCATAACATGATATAAAGCTATTTAAGGAAAGTGTTTGGCCTTCATCATGAGAAGAGTCACTCTCTTTGTCAGCGGGTCCAATACCAATGGAAAAGTATGTACTGCATGTTCAGTCCTGCTCCTGCACATGTCGTGCACATACTGGTACAAAGTAACAGATTTGATGCTCACAGGTCGCTGTATGCGGTTCTATGGAGGACCTACTTTCTGCTGCCAGCTCTAAACTCGGCATCAGGGCTTCTTGTGTGTACAATGCTGACGGTGGTCTTATAGATGACATAACAATTATAAGGTAGGTGCAATACAAACACACTGTTATTATCCTCATATATTATTTTTCAATTCAATTTTCAGGGATGATGATGTCCTCTATGTATCAGAGGGAGAGTTCAAAGGTACACTGTATTTTGTGATTCAGTTTTCAGTTTTTGTTGCAAAAAGCAATAACAGGAAGTTAACATTCTTATTGCTCTGTTACATCCTTAGAGGAGGAAAAAGTAACCAAAGGTGGTGAGATGCACACTGACTGGTTAACGCTCAATGTTGGTGGCCGTCACTTCACCACTACAAGGTATTATATATTAAGTGTTTATGCACCATATCAGCTACATCAGCTGAAGTGAACCACAGACACATATTATGTTCAATTTGTTTTGTATTTTTTAAAGGAGTACTTTGGTTAATAAACAACCAGACAGCATGCTTGCCCATATGTTCAGAGAAAAAGGTAAATGAAAAAACCCAAACGTCATAAAACTTCATTATAACATATACCTTCTATTGCTTTTCTAAGATGTGTGGGGAAACAAGCAGGACTCTAAAGGGGCCTTTCTGATTGACAGAAGTCCTGATTACTTTGAGCCTATTCTCAACTACTTGAGACATGGGCAGCTTATCATCAACAAAGGGATAAATCCTCTGGGTATCGACAGTAAAACATTCATAATGGCCAGGGCCTTTTTAATATTGATTGATTTATATTTGTTTAATTTTTTAAGGCGTGCTAGAGGAGGCTCGATTCTTTGGCATTGAGCAGCTGGCTGAACAGCTTGAGACTTTCATAAAGGTATTTTAGGCAATGTTAATGTTAATGTTGGTTTATTCTCCTGTTTACCTAAACCTCTCTTTAGTCCTCTCAATCTCCGGATGACCACTCACCTCTGAGCCGAAAAGAATTTATTAGATACTTGTTGGCCACAACAACTAAGGCAGAGCTACGTTGTCAGGTTCATATTTGGAGATATACATTATAATCTCAATTTTAAGGCTGCCATTTTTACTTAAACAATTCTTCTGTTAGGGTTTGAATTTCAATGGTACAGATTTGTCTCGTCTGGATTTGCGCTACATCAACTTTAAGATGGCTAATTTAAGAGGAGCTAATTTAACGAACGCTAACCTCAGTGGAGCAAATCTGGAGAGAGCCGACCTCTCAATGGCCTGCTTGGACGTGAGTACTTTATCAGAACTGGTTTGGTAGCAAATATTTATTATTATTATATATTGTTTTTTTCTCTTAAAAGTAATACTACTGATATATTTATATATAATAATATAGTAGCGGACAGTCTAGATGACACATAAAAAGTACTATACTAACTTCAATAACAAACATGTAAAAATAGATAAATAGAGCGATGAAAAAAGTTTGAACTATCTTTTCTAAAGGGCGCCAATTTACAAGGAGTAAAAATGCTCTGCACTAATGCTGAAGGAGCGTCTCTCAAAAGTTGTAACTTTGAGGATCCTGCTGGCAGCAAAGCCAATCTAGAGGGTAAGTCAAATGTTGTTTATTTTAAATATAAATTGTTTTGAAATGGCTCCTGGATTTTCCTCAGGAGCCAATCTGAAGGGCGTGGACATGGAGGGAAGTCAGATGACGGGTATTAACCTGCGAGTCGCTACACTGAAAAATGCTAAGTTAAAGAACTGTAATCTGAGAGGAGCCACACTGGCTGGAACAGACCTGGAGGTATATAATATGTTTACATTGGTTTGAATAAATACCTGTTCATAATTGAATCATGTCTAATAATAAAATGCACTCCTGTAGAACTGTGACCTGTCTGGATGTGACCTTCAGGAGGCCAACCTGAGGGGTTCCAATGTGAAAGGGGCCATCTTTGAGGAGATGCTCACTCCTCTGCACATGTCCCAAAGTGTTCGCTGACTCCTGCGGCTGTGGCCTCAAACCGACTGAACTCTGCTGCTATTTATTGTTGCCTCTTTTACCTTGATGTATATTTGTGGAGCTATTTTTGTGGTTTTGTATGCATCAAGAAATACAGTATTCCTTATGTTTTTACTTGTTGAACAGCAGATGGCGCTAAGCAATCACAACATGCTCATCACATTTACGAAAACAGCTGAGTTTATGGCGGATTGTATTCATAGAACCAAAAAAACACCTGAACTTCTCTAGTGCTGCTGCTGCTTGTTTTTTATGTTTTCTAATAAATACTATTAAAAATAATGTTTGAGATGTAAGCAGTTAAGCAGGGCAGGACCTGGTTAGTATTATGATGGGGGACCTCTGGGAATACCAAGTACCACAGTGGGTAGTATTACAATGTTAAACTTTAGCTTCAGCTGGTTTGAGCAAGAAATGGTTGGTGGGGAGTGAAGGAGCTGATGGCACATACTTGTTGCTCCACTTCTGTCTGTCCCAGGGCAGCTGTGGCAAAATTAGTAATTTACCAATGTGTACGGAGTGAAAGAATATTGCCATGTTTAGTATCTTTGAGTGTCCAACAAAGGCCCTATAGTTAGATACTTTTTTGATCTCTCGCTGGAGAAATTCAGGTGTCCAGCAGCAGAAAACACATCCACACAAACACATAAGTAAATTAATTTCTAACTAACAATAGTACATATTTTTTACTCTATTGTACAGTCTGACAACAAAAACAACATATTAATATTATTGTTATCGTTAGTGCTGTTATAAATATGTTTGTTTATAGCATTGATCTCAGTTTACATTTATGTTTGCTTATATTGATTTTTTTACTCTGAAATCTAATACAGCAATTACCACAAGCATTATGCAGCAGAATTGCACTACAGGTCAGAAATAAGTGCAAAATCTCTTCAACTGAATAACAAGAAGTGTCTTTTGAAAAGCAGCTTTAGAGAAGCACGTTGGTAGAGTGTGCCTTCAGGCCTTGCCCAAGCAGGAAATTATTAATTTGCCTGATTTACAGTTGTATGAAAGACAACCTTGTCCTGTAATCCTGTAAATTTGCACTGTAAATCAGATTCATACCGACACCGCACACATTAAAAGGTAACAGATGGTGCATTCTAATGGCTATTTGCTGACCTGACAGTGTGGGGGTGTTGTGCGGCTATATTTCCAACGTGACAGTGGGTGTGCATGTGTGTCTGGGGAAGTGGCTTTCAGAGCTGAACGAGAAAACGTTCTCCTCCAGCCAAATAAAGCTGCCCATGTAAACTCCACATTCCTCCGTTTGTGGTGTGTCTCTCTCAGACTCTAAAATCTGTCTTTTTATAGAGGGAGGAGTCTGAGTGTGTGTGTTTTCCTGTAAGGCACTTTAAGGTGTCTGCTAAGAACTGGTCTCCATGTGTTTAACATGTTGTGTTATTTGCCAGTATTTATAAATGTGACTTAAACTACATTAACATCCAGTTATACTTGAACAAATGCTGCTCATCTTGAAAAATGCTTTTGTTTCTCACATACAGTACACTGCAAAACAATGCACAGTTTATTATTCTCTCCTTGAAACACAGATAATAATGTATTTATTTATCGGATTGTACTTTTCATATTACACATTATATGTTTAAGAACTTTTAAGCACAATCACTTTTTTATATATATCAAAAAAATAAATCTCACCTTTTGCCCTCCGCGGGCGGTTATCCCTCTCTAAGCTTGGGTCCTCTACCAGAGGCCTGGGAGCTTGAGGGTTCTGCGCAGTATCTTTGCTGTTCCTAGTACTGCACATTTCTGGACCGAGATGTCCGAGGTTGTTCCGGGGATCCGCTGTAAACACTCTTCTAGCTTTGGGGTCACTGCCCCGAGTGCACCGATCACCACGGGCACTACTGTCACCTTTACCCTCCAGGCCCGCTCCAGCTCCTCTCTGAGACCTTGGTATTTCTCAAGCTTTTCATGTTCCTTTTTCCTGATGTTACCGTCGCTTGGAATTGCCACGTCCACCACCACGGCTGTCTGGAGCAGGCCCTGAGCACCAGAGCGATAGAGGCCCAGATATACCTCACCAGACAAGACCCAAGGTGTCGGTTGTGCAAAGAGGCACCTGAGACGATCCAACACATAACTGCAGGGTGCAAGATGCTGCAGGGAAGGCCTACATGGAACGCCATAACCAAGTGGCTGGCATAGTGTACAGAAACATCTGTGCAGAGTGTGGGCTGGAAACCCCAAGGTCTAAGTGGGAAACTTCTCCAAAGGTGGTGGAGAATGAGCGTGCGAAGATCCTGTGGGACTTCCAGATACAGACCGACCGAATGGTAATGGCGAACCAACCTGACATCGTGGTGGTAGACAAAGGGCAGAAGAAAGCAGTGGTGGTGGACGTGGCAATTCCAAGCGATGGTAACATCCGGAAAAAGGAACTTGAAAAGCTTGAGAAATACCAAGGTCTCAGAGAGGAGCTGGAGAGGGCCTGCAGGGTAAAGGTGAGAATTTTGTTTTAAATATAAATATTCCCTTTCCCCCATTACCATAATAATGTATTTTTATTACCTTTTAAAAACATATACTTTGCAAAGATAAAACATACAAAAAAGAGAAAGGACATTACAGTTAGTAACGGACACACAATACAAAAGTAAAAAAAAAAAAAAAAGTAATACATGTGAGTGTTGTGTTTGTAGGTATCTATGTTCTTTATCAAGTAACTATTGAAATATATTAAAAAACACATATTTAAATCTTCTGTCTTAAACATGTACCAGTATTAGAATCAGATCAGAATCATCTTTTTTTTATTGACATTGTAGACATTTGTTTAGGCTCAAGGTTGTGAGAGTGAAAGGTAAGGGCGTGCATACAAAAGAACAATTTTCAAAACATTCCTTACAACTACTACTATACAAGTGCACTAAATTCTAAGATGGTCTCCCTGTTTGTATAAGCCTGATCTGTCCCTCTATAGAAGCTGAGCAGTGTGGGGCTTGGTTAGTATCATGATGGGAGACCACTGAGAATACCAGGATCCACAGTAAAGTTCAAAAGTGTCTGTTTTACTATAGGGATGTCTGGGATTGTGTCTTTGAAAACATGTTTATTGGTGGCACAGGACACAAACAACACAGTCAGAGTTGGCATAGACTACGCATGGTTTTATACACAGGCACAAAGTTCCCCTTAGCATCTGCCACGTTGCAATAGATACAGTAAGTTTGCCTCGACCTTCAGGTAACCCTAACATCGAGTGGAAAAACACAGACTTCCCATGGGAAAATAATAACATCTGTTGCAATGACTAGCTCAGTTTTATTATAATAATCTGATTCATGTAAAGATCCATTACACATTACCCACATTGTGTAGGATTAATTTGGTGAATGCTGATTAATTGGGGTTTGTTTATTTAGAAATTTGTCTAAGAAACATAAAAAAAAAAAAAAAAAATCCATCCATTAATTTTCTTCCCCTTAGTCCATTTCTGGGTCAGGGGGCTTGCCCAAAGACACAACAACAGCAGTCATCAGTGGGAGTTATGAAGTAGGTCTCGTGGTGGGCTCGAACCCACGACCGTCAGGCTCAAAGGCCAATGCTCTACCAACTGAGCCACTGTCGCCCATAAATAATACATAACATAAAGATTGAGTACTCAAAAGGAGAATAGATAGTAGGTAGATGGATGGATGGATAGATGGATGGAGTACCCGCTTGGTTCGGACCATTTTCTCTGCTCTAGTCCACAGTAAAAGCCTTCATTAGCCTTTTTCAAAAAGTTAACATTCCTCCAGTGGATTTTTGCAGATGTTCAAATAACGATTATAGTTTATAGTTGAAGGCTTCTTCATATCGAGAGGAACCAGTTGAGGTGGCCTGGGTGTCTGGATGCCTTCCCAGAGGTGTTTCCTGGAATGTCCCACCGGGAGGAGACCAGGGGAAGACCTAGGACCCATTGAAGGGACAATATCTCTCAGCTGGCCTGGGAACTGAGCTGGAGGAGGTGTGTGTGGAAAGGTAAGTCTGAGTGTCTGTGTTTAGACTGCTGCCCCTCAACCCGGAAACAGATAAAGTGGAAGAAACTTGATGGATGGATTTAAATAGTTGTCACCTCTTGCATGTCTCCTCGGGACAGTATGTGCAGGAGGTGGCACATCAGCTTCACCAGGTTTACAGTAAGACACACACAGCGTTTGGCAGACTGATGTGTGTGTGTATTTGTGGGTGTACTCTGGGCAGGGCTTCAGACAGAGCAGAGTTTTGGCTCAAACTTTAGAGATCTGCTTGGTTTACTTTAGGGAGTGTCCGCTTCTCTGTGATGTGGACAGCCCCACTGATTCTACGGCAATGCAAGTAACGTTAAGAAATGTTATGCTAAATGCTATTTTAGCTTGAAATGACCACCCTTCCTCTTTTCAGCACTAAATACACACAAATAGACTCAACACACATACCCTATTCTCTTCTACCCCTTCTCTCTTACTTCAAGGTACATGTTGTTACTGATACCCTATATATTTACAGCTGCGTGTTCCAAACTGTACAAACAATGCCACATGAACCCTAGAATAATGCATTACTGAATATTTACTCAATCACTGGGGAAATCACTGGACGACAGTAGCTCAGTTGGTAGAGACAAGGGGTGGGAACCTCAGGGTACCTCACGATACTATACGATGTGGGATGCAAAGCTCATGATAACGATTATCTCACGATATGACGATATCGTCATATATATTAAAAAATATATATATATATTTTTTTTTAAATCATTTTTTTTTAAATCGGTACTTAGCAAAAGCATATCAATAATCGATTGCGTGAGAAAGTATAACGTTACATCACCATATCAATATACAGTGCCTTGTGAAAGTATTCGGCCCCCTTGAACCTTTCAACATTTCGCCACATTTCAGGCTTCAAACATAAAGATATAAAAATTAAATTTTTTGTCAAGAATCAACAACAAGTGGAACACAATCGTGAAGTGGAAC